CAAAAAGGGGGTACAGCGTTTCATCGGTTTTTCCAACTTTTACAGGAAGTTTATTAGGAACTTCTCCGGTCTGGTGTCCCCCAGATCACGCAACTGACGAAACAAGGGGTCCGCTTTAAGTGGACTCCCGAAGCGCAGACAGCATTCGAAAAGCTCAAAGAATTGTTCACCTCTGCTCCCATTCTCTGCCATCCAGACGCTTCTCTCCCATATGTTTTGGAAGTGGACGCCTCCGAAAATGCGGTAGGAGCGGTTTTGTCCCAAAGGAATGGTACCAAGAAACTACTACACCCTGTGGCGTTCTTCTCCAGGAAGTTGACACCAGTGGAACGTAACTACGACATTGGAGATCGGGAGCTCCTGGCCATTAAAACTGCTCTTGAAGAATGGAGGTATTTACTGGAAGGAGCCACACACCCAATCCTAATATTCACAGATCACAAAAACCTTGAATATTTAAGAACGGCAAAACGACTGAGACCTCGCCAAGCGAGATGGGCTCTTTTCTTCTCTCGATTCTCATTCCATATACGTACCGACCCGGTACTAAGAACACTAAACCAGACGCTCTGTCCCGCATGTTTGAGGACCCCGACGACGCTGTGGTACCTGACACCATCTTACCTTCTGGGAGTTTCCTTGCTCTACAAACGGAACTTCGCTCCCGGCTTCTCGATGCTTCTGTAGGACTACCAGTTCCGTCTGGGTCACCCCTCCAGAGCCATGGTGGGCTATTTTGGAAGGAAGACCGGATCATGGTCCCAGAAGAAGTGCGAACCTTGGTCCTAGGGCACTGCCACGACCATCCAATGGCGGGCCACTTCGGGGTAACGAAAATCTGGATCTACTACGGCGCTCGTTCTGGTGGCCAGACATGATCAAGGATTGTGAGCATTACGTCCGAACTTGTCCCACCTGTCAAAGGAACAAGCCCTCCAGGAGCAGGGCATGGGGATTGTTACGTCGATTACCCATACCCAAGCGGGCCTGGCAAATGATAGCCATGGATTTCGTGGTCGAACTTCCACCATCCCAGGGCTACACTGCAATAATGGTGATCGTCGACCGCTTCTCAAAGATGGCACATTTCGTGCCCCTGGAGAAGACCCCATCAGCACCGGAAACGGCACGGATCTTCATCAAGGAAGTGGTTAGGCTTCATGGTGTTCCCGAAGATATAGTGTCAGATCGGGGGGTCCAATTCACCTCCAGGTTCTGGAACGCACGAATGTAAATCGCTGGGAATCAAGCTGTCGCTTTCATCCGCCTACCATCCACAGACCAACGGCCAAACTGAGAGGACAAACCAGACGCTGGAACAGTACTTACGGTGCTACACATCCTACCTTCAGGATGACTGGCTGTCGTTGCTGCCTTCCGCGGAATTCTCATACAACAACTCGAGTCACTCAGCTACGGGTCAATCCCCGTTCTTTTCCAATTATGGGTATCATCCCACATTCCTCCCTGATCTGATGCCTGAGAATCCGGTACCGGCATCTCAAGACATCTTGAACTTCTTTTCTGTCAATAACAAGACAATTCAGGAAGCCATCGCTAAAGCCCAAGAGGACAGTAAAAGGGCATTCGACAGAAAGAGAAGAGGAGAATTACTGCTTCAACCAGGGGATAAGGTTTGGCTAGCAACAACCAACTTGAAGATGCTGTGTCCTTCAAGGAAGCTGGACCCAAGTACATTGGCCCATTTCCGGTAAAAACGAGTAGTTAACGAGGTGGCCTACGAACTCGAGCTTCCGCAGACCTTCAAGATACATCCTGTGTTCCATGTATCTCTCCTGAAGCCATCCAGACCGGATCCCTTCCCGGACCGTGAATCCAGACCTCCCGAGGCAGTCACCATAGGTGACCAGGAGGAATATGAAGTGGAGACTATCCTCAGTTGCCGACGGAGGGGGGGCCAGACACAGTTCCTGATAAAATGGAAGGGGTATGGCCCTGAGGAGAACTCATGGGAACCCGCCCAGAACGTCCACGCGCCCAGGCTCATCCGGGAATTTTGTCGTGCTCACCCGCGGTGGAGAGATCAGTGGGGCTCCCGGAGGGTGCCCATTGGGGGGGGGCAATGTCAGGGATCGCGGCTCCGTGCTCCTCGATCGCGGCTCTGTCCCCCGCGCATGCGCATTGGCGGCAGATCGCGCCGGGACACAGGCACTAGGTCCCGGCGAGCCGCGGCTGACAGGACGCCGCGCATGCGCAGTAGGTGCCGGGGGGCGCGCCTCAGGCGCCCAATGACAGCCGGGGGCGCGTCCTAGCCGGCCAATGACAGTGCAGGGCGCACTATTTAAAGATGCCCTGCACTGTCACAGATTGCCGCAAGGTCTTCCTGTGATCCCGAGTTCCTGCACCTGTCTAGTGACCCTGATTGACCTAACTACGCTGCCTGCCCCTGTGATTGACCCGGATTGCCCTGACTATTCTGCCTGCTCCTGTGATTGGCCCGGATTGTCCTGACTACTCTGCCTGCTCCTGCATTTGACCCGGATTGCCCTGACCATTCTACGGATTGACTTCCCTGCTGACCCTACGTGTGACCCGACTACTCTTCGCCTACCGATTCTGTACCCCGCTTACCCTCACGGGCCCACGATCCGTTACTACCCTGCTGGGGCCGCCATCCTCTTCATATCTGGCTCTCCCGGTACCTGTCCCCAAAGGTCTCCTCAGCCACTGGTGGGCCTGCTCGGAGTCGTGACCTGGCCCGGGACTGTTTCAAGTCCATCCCCACCATCAGGGGCTCTGATGAAAGCACAGCCCGGGCTTAGACCCCACGCTCTGAGTAGGTCTGTCAGTTGGCAGCCTGAGGCACCACCTGGCGGATCATAACACCCATAGACTTCTATGCATAGCGCTGAGATTCCTGGGAATTGTAGTTTGAGATGATAGCTATATAATAGGGCAAAAAGGACTCCTTACTGTACAGTAGGAGGAGTGGAAAGGGGATTTTAATTGAACTGCCTGGGAAAGTTCTATCTCTTAGCACTGATTGAGTGAGAGAGAGAGAGCTCCTGTACCTGGATGTTCACACTGCCAGTGGGAGACCATACCAGTGGAAATCTGAGCCTGAGACTGGGAGGACACCCAGGGTAGCACAGCACCACCACCTACATCAGAGCACCTGCACTGCTGCCGTAGGGAGACTGGAGCGTCCACTCACCCTCTGCTTCCCACCACTGATCACCAGAGGCTTTCAGGGAGAGACCAAGGGGGCACCCCCTTGTACAGTGAGAGATCACTGCAGCATCCCAGGGACTAGTGAGAGGGCTATTTGCACATTATTGACACTGCTTGCAGGGACTGAGCCAATGAGAGCAGGACACCAAGTGTACCCAACCCAGACCTCACCCATACTGCACTCTACACAGCTCTTATTCCAAACCTAGACTGCACCTATACCAACTCTATACTGTATTATACCATTATTGCATCTGAACCACATCTACCTTGCTCCTGTGCCAAGACTTTACCATACCTATACTGTACCTATACTGCATGCAAGTTTGTCAGGAATGGACTTGCCAATAATGGTAGGACTTACCTGCCTTGTGGGCTGCAGTACCAGGGCTGGCCAGCGGGTGCTCTCAGCAATCAGAGACTCACCCCTGCAGTCAGCCAAACACCTGAAGCTGATTGCAGGGGTTGTATTTAAGGAATGGCCAGACTCACAGTCAGGGCCTTGGTGTGTGTTTTTCCATGGGCCCCTGTATCTTGTATCCTGTGTTCCTGTTCCTGTTTCTGCCTGACCTGTTGCCGACCCTGCCTGATCCTGACCTCTGCTGACTTCTGCTGTTTGATCCCTGGCTTGTGACCCTGACCATTCTCTGCCTGACCCTCTGCACCGCGCTGCCCGTGAGTTACTGAACCCAGCTTGTGACCCCGACCACTCTCCCGCTGTTCCTAGTACTCCGTTTGCCCGTTTGCTACTGACCCGGCCTGCCTGACGACTCTTGCATTGTATGTATTGTTATCTGTAGGTGGTTTGGTTTGGTTTGTTTGCACTGTGTTTATGTTTAGTTTTGCACTGCGTTTTGTATTGTTAGTCTTAATAAATCATATTGTTTATACCATATCTGAAGCCTGCGTTTCCCTGTGTCAGTCCACACACCTCTGGTCATACCCGGAGCCCTGACATTACACCAAGGCCCATCCTTACCAGAAGTGGCTGCACAGGGAAGCCATCTTGGCTTATTGTTGCTGGGTAGGATAAATCTTGATGAGGTTGTGTATTTATCTCTGCTATTGTTTGATGACAAAGACTATGCTTATCAGACTCTGAAGGAGTATCCCAGGGATCAACTACTAGAGTGTATAAGGATCGCTCATTGCCTAGTAGATCAGGGCACAGAGTTTTCTGAGCTGTAGCCATCGATCCAGGTTTGTGCTGAGTTGGCTCGGTCCTATACCCCTGAAAGCAGGAATGACTTTTTTCCCCCATTTAGTGTGGAACAAGTGGAATCACTAGTATGGTTGTTGGAGGATGATCCAGATTGCTTCCATGAGCATTATGCAGCTTGCCCATCACATGTGCTTATGGATTGCATAAACGCAGTGCAGAATTTGATCAGACAGGCTATGTGTAAGCTGAGTTTTGTTCAACCAGTACTGCAGACATGGACAGATTTGTTGCACCCAGCCTCAGTCAGCTTGCAAGAACCCATTCCTGCTTCTAATCTATTTCTTCAAAGCTCTATTCCTGCATCCCCGACAGCACCCCCAGTGACGGCCCAGTATACTCTGCTAACTACCACATATCAGTCCTCTGCTCCCACTCGCTGCACCTATCCTGCCTTTAACCCTGTAAAGAAGTCCTCTATAGCAACTGCTCCCTCCTCTGTTCCATCCTTCAGCTCTTCTCTATCTTCAGCTGCTCCATCCGTTTACAAACCTGCACTTACTTACAGTGCTCCAGTAACTAAAACCAGGAAAAGGCGAAAATTCTTTCCAACCAGTACCATCCTGCCAGTATCCAAATCGGTCAGTCTGCCATCTGAGAACCAGCCTTCCATGGTGCAGCCTGGTATCCCGGTGCCCGTTGTCGAGCAAGACATTCCAATGCCTGATGACCCGGTGCCCGCTGTCATACCTGGTGACCCGATACCCGCTGTCGAGCCAGATGACCTGATGCCTGGTGACCCGATGCCCGCTGTCGAGCCAGACAATACAATGCCTGATGACCCAGTGCCTGCTGTCATGCCTGGTGACCCGATGCCCGCTGTCGTGCCTGATGACTCGATGCCCGCTGTCCAGCCAGATGATCCAATGCCTGATGACCCAGTGCCCGCTGTCATACCTGGTGACCCGATGCCCGCTGTCGAGCCAGACGATCCAATGCCTGATGACCCAGTGCCTGCTGTCATGCCTGGTGACCAGATGCCCGCTGTCGTGCCTGATGACCCAGTGCCCGCTGTCGTGCCTGGTGACCCGATGCCCGCTGTTGAGCTAGACGACCCGGTGCCCGCTGTCGAGCAAGACGATCCAATGTCTGACCCAGTGCCCGCTGTCATACCTGGTGACCCGATGCCCGCTGTCGTGCCAGTTGACTCAGAGCCCACTGTCGTGCCTGGTGACTTGGTGCCCACTGCCTTGCCAGATGACTCGGTGCCCACTGTCGAGCCAGATGACCTGATGCCTGGTGGCCCGGTGCCTGCTGCCCTGCCTGGTGGCCCAGTGCCTGCTGCCCTGCCTGGTGGCCTGGTGCCTGCTGCTCCGCCTGGTGGCCCGGTGCCCGCTGCTCCGCCTGGTGATCCTGTGTCCAGCCTGATGTGCCTCTGTCCGGCGTCCAGCCCGATGTGCCTCTGTCTGGCGTCCAGCCCGATGTGCCTCTGTCCGGCGTCCAGCCCGATGTGCCTCTTTCCGGTGCCCCGCCCGATGTGCCTCTTTCCGGTGCCCAGCCAGATGTGCCAGTCTTTGATATCCCACCAGTTACCAGGCGGTGGAACATTTTGCCCAGCTAGGACTGTTTGGAGCGTCCTGAGGCCGCTCCTTGGGGGGGGGTACTGTCAGGAATGGACTTGCTAATAATGGTGGCACTCACCTGCCTTGTGGGCTGCAGTACCAGGGCTGGCCAGCGGGTGATCTCAGCAATCAGAGACTCACCCCTGCAGTCAGCCAAACACCTGAAGCTGATTGCAGGGGTTGTATTTAAGGAATGGCCAGACTCACAGTCAGGGCCTTGGTGTGTGTTTTTTCCATGGGCCCCTGTATCTTGTATCCTGTGTTCCTGTTCCTGTTTCTGCCTGACTTGTTGCCGACCCTGCCTGATCCTGACATCTGCTGACTTCTCCTGTTTGATCCCTGGCTTGTGACTCTGACCATTCTCTGCCTGACCCTCTGCACCGCGCTGCCCGTGAGTTACTGAACCCAGCTTGTGACCCCGACCACTCTCCCGCCTGTTCCTGGTACTCCGTTTGCCCGTTTTGCTACTGACCCGGCCTGCCTGACGACTCTTGCATTGTATGTATTTTTATCTGTAGGTGGTTTGGTTTGTTTTCACTGTGTTTATATTTAGTTTTGCACTGCGTTTTGTATTGTTAGCCTTAATAAATCATATTGTTTATACCATATCTGAAGCCTGCATTTCCCTGTGTCAGTCCACACACCTCTGGTCATACCCGGAGCCCTGACAAAGTTACTGCAACTGTCATAAAGTGCACCAACGCTCTTAAAGGGTGTTGACTTGCAGATGTCACCATCGATGTGCTTCTTCTTTCTTTTTTGTTCTCTTTTAACGTGTTCTTTGTGTGTGTATATATATATATATATATATGTGTGTGTGAAAATCAATAAAAATTGTTAATACAAAAGAAAGGGTGTTGTAAGTACAGTGTTCAAGTATTTTGTATTATAACTACATCAGTATTCAGTAGAGATATATTCTCTGTCATCTACCAGTAGATGTCAGTGTTTATAAGTTTGTAGCTGTATCTATGATAAATTCTATGTCTTTTCTCTGAATAAAATGTCCTGTTTCCTGTTTGCAGTGAAGCAGATAAACACATGTGGACTGTACACTGTCTGTTCTGTAGGGCTATATACAAAATCTTTAACAAAGGGCCCCAAAGATAGCTGGAAGAAAAACATCTCAAAGGACTGCCCCTTTCATAACAATTACACAGGTCTGCAAATTTTTTTTCAAGAGTTGTTTTGGTTATTCCACGTAATATTTATGTTTTTTGGTGCACTGAAAATGACCTCCAATTTGTCATAGGACATCATGTTTCCTGACAATTTAGGTAACTATGTTAAATAAGGCAATACCTCAATATAAATGGAAATAGACTTACAAAATTAAAGTTTTATTACAATTTTTTCATGAAAATCCTTTTTTGAACTGAAATGAGCTCATCTACACACACTAAACTCGATTCTTCTTCCCTGTAAGGCTCCTCTTGGTGCATTTACACTTGTGAGTAGCATCTGGAATGTCTCTCTGAAGCATCCAACAGTAGTCTGCCATCATTGTAATGCTCCATTTTCCCTGGTATCTACTTTCCATCTCTTTAATGTCTTGGTGGAATCGTTCACCTTGTTCCTCACTCAAATTTTCAGGAAGTAGTCAAGGTGGGACTTGAGGAAATGCACTTTCAAACTCATCAGGCAACCTAAAGCATGAAATGCTTTCAGCATTCGTATGACGATCTTTTTGTAGTGAGGATCTTTGTTATTGCCTAAACATTTCTGTACGACTTCTTTAACCACTTGCCTACCAGGCACTTATACCCCCTTATTTACCAGGCCAATTTTCAGCTTTCAGCGCTGCCGCACTTTGATTGACAATTGCGCGGTCATGGAACATTGTACCCATATGAAATTTTGATAATTTTTTTCTCACAAATAGAGCTTTATTTTGGTGGTATTTAATCGCTGCTGGGCGCTTTACTTTTTGCGCTATAAATAAAAAAATTGCAAAAAATTTGAAAAAAAAAAAAGTTTCTTTGTTTCCATTATAAAATTTTTCAAACAGGTAATTTTTCTCCTTCACTGATGTGCGTTGATGAGGCAGCACTGATGGGCACTGATAGGCGGCACTGATGGGCACTGATAGGCAGCACTAAAGGGCACTGATAGGCAGTACTAATGAGGTGGCACGGATAGGCGGCACTGATAGACAGCACTAATGAGGTGTCACGGATAGGCGGCACTAATATGCAGCACTGATAGGCGGCACTGATAGGTGACACTGATGATGGGTACTGATAGACGGCACTGACTGGCATCACTGCTGGGCACTGACTGGCGGCACTGACTGGCACAACCGCTGGGCACTGACTGGTGGCACTGACTGGCAGCACTGCTGGGCTGCACTGGTGGGTGGCACTGGTGGGCAGCACTGGTGGGTGGGCACAGGTGGGTGGCACTGGTGGGCACAGGTGGGTGGGCACAGGTGGGTGGCACTGCTGGGCACAGGTAGGTGGCACTTCTGGGCACAGGTAGGTGGCACTTCTGGGCACAGGTGGGTGCACTGCTGGGCACAGGTGGGTGATCTGCTGGGCACAGGTGGGCGGAGCTAGTGGGCGCAGTGCTGGGAGGAACTTGCAGGTGGCACTGCTGGGCACCGATCATCAGGTCGGTGCCGATCCCCGCTCTGACAACTGCCAGTTCTCGGCAGTACTTTCCTCACGATCTGACAGCGTGAGGAAAGTGCAGCCGAGAACCGGCACTTGCATTTCCCTCTGATCAGCGTGTCATTGGACACCGCTGATCACGTGGTAAAAAGCCCGCTGTGATTGGCCTTTTACCACATCACGTGATCAGCTGTGTCCGTAGGACACAGCGATCACGGAGATCGCCGGGTGCGCACCCCCTGAGGCGCGCAGGAGAGCGCGTTCTGGGAGGACGTCATATGACGTCCACTCAGAACTGGCCGGCCGCAGTGCAGCCGTCATTGGGCTATCTGCGGTCGGCAACTAGTTAAATGCAATCCACTTTTTGAGGATCCGTCATGGTATTGACAAACTCTTGATCAACTATAAGCCTCCTAATGTCTGGTACGACAAACACACCTTCCTTCACTTTTGCCTCCAATAGGCCTGGAAACTTGGTGACCAAGTATTTGAAGCATTCTCCATCTCTTGGAAGTGATTTTACGAATTGCTTCATCAGTCCCAATTTTATGTGGAGAGGTGGTAGAAGAACTTTATGGGAAGGTACCAAAGTGTCTTGGAGGACATTTTTTTCACCGACTGTTAGCACCCTCGGCTGCCAACTCTTCTTGGTCCAGTGATTTTGTCGGTCTCGACTGTCCCATAGCCACAGAAAACAAGGGTATTTGGTATCCCACCCACTGGATTCTTCAGGAAAGATTAACCCTTTCTACCATTAGAAGCACAGACTGAGGCTTACACATACAGCATGCTGCTGAGTATCCCAGTAGTCAGACATGTCACACAGAGCAGCACTTGTATTCACCCCCTTTGAAGGGGGGGAGGGGCAGAGATTGTTTACCTGCAAATAACAACAAAGGGCCAGAGGAGAACTAGGGAAATGAGGAAATAGAATTTTTTTTCCCCAAAACTTGCTTAGCTTATGTATATATTGCTGACCATCAGGTTTACAGTGCTATATATTTTTTTACATAACTCGGACAACCCCTTTAAGGCTTTTTTGGCATTTTATATCTTAAATGCACTTATGTGAATTAATTAATAGCAATTTGGACTTTAAATTTGGTTAAAAAACCCATAATATAAAAAAATACCAAAAATTAAAAAAATGTGATAAATTTTAAGACAATTTTGCATTTTGTGGCAAATCATGACGTTTAGGAGTTTTTTCAATATTTTATTTGTTTTCAGCACACCAAAATACATGGAAATTAGATGAAAATAATCAAACAGCTTTTTAGTCGCAGACCTGTGTTATTTAGCAGGTCCCCTTTGTTCCTCTGTCCCCCCCGACTCTACAATCCTCCTTTTTCTTTTGACCACTGCAAACCCAGTCAGTCTAGGACCAGCATATAGCAGATTCAACTTTACTGCTGCTCACTGCTGCACTTCAGGTGGCCTTGCTACTATTTACTGTTAATCACTTTATATTCTAATTAACATTATTACCATCTTCAATCCATTTTATGCTTACCTTGTTACTAATCATATTGGGTGACAATATATTAAGATTACTACTTGGTTTGGTGCATGTCTTCTTTGATATAGCACTATATTGGGTACTAGGTGTTATTTGCAGGGATTTTCTGTTGTATTGCATGATTGTACACTCAACATGGTGTGTTAGAGAGGCTGAGGTTTTTGAAAACATCAAAGCAGTGAACAAAGGACCCATCCTAACAAGTGGCTCCCACTATTGTAGCTCTACATAGGAAAAAGAAAGTAAACAGTGGAATGTGCTGTAACTGCCCCTTACACAATGCATACCAGTGGGTGTGCTTATGCAAAGCATATTGCACACCCACTGGGGTGAATGGGCCTTTAGGCATAGTTAATTTTGAGACCAGAGGCACATATTGTCAAAGTTGAAACTGCCAAGTGCCACTGAGAGAGGTTGCTGTGGCCCCCAACAGAATTTTGATATAGGACCCCAAGAACTGTATTCCTACAGTTGTCTAACAGTTTTCCTAATACTAGAGACAAGAATGCCCCAT